AGCACAGCAGGTGACATTTCATCCTAGAGCAATCCTTGCCTGCCCCCCACCTCTGGTGGTAGAATACAGCCAAACTTTAGTCATTTCAAAGTGGTTCACCTGTACTATTTAGTGACACAAAGTCAGGAGACTTCATGGTTAGGAGGGTCAGTGAAAGAAAGACCCTCAATAAGATGGACTGACACAGCAACTGCAGCCCTGGGCTGAGTGGGTCAGCAATGCTGAGGATGGCTCAGGACAGGAGCGGGTGTTCACAGGGGCACTCCGAGTGGTACTCCACGGCACCTAATGAATCTCATGTTTCCTCCATCACTTTCTTAAAAAAGAAAAAAACCAAAATATTTTTTAAACCCTGGTAACAGCCTGCTCTTGGGGTTTCACGTAAGCTCAGGCACTCTGTTCTTTTATGACAGGGTATGTTTTCAAGGCTCAGTCACGGTAGGAATAAGGCCTTCTCTTCGTGGTGGACTAATGACTGCAGGCGACCACGTGACACATCTTGTGTGGCCAGTTACCTACACCTTCTGGCCACTGCTGTGGTGAGCACCCGAGCGCTCTGGCCTAGAGTAAGAAGGTGCACTGCAACCTCAAGGGCACGCTAAGTTCTGAATCCACTAGCTGATCTGTAGGAGGGGGGAGGATGGGCAGTCTCCTCCTCTGAAAACGCACTGTGGAAGGTCAGCCAGGAGTCGGGTCTGTCTGACTCAACAGCACACACACTACCAGTGAGCACAATGCCTGCTGACAGGCCCTAGAAGACACACGTGGGAGTGAAATGGCTGGCTGGGTGGTCAGTGCTCACTTTCTAAGGGACCACCAACCTTGCACTGTCTATCATTTTACCTTCCCTCCAGCAACACAGCAGTGTCCCGATTCCTGTATCCTTGTCTGTTTTCCCTCTTGTTTTTCTGATCACTGCTTTTGAGCAGATTCTGACTCAGTGACTGGTGGGCCTCCAAGGCTGTACATTTTTACAGCAGTCGGGTAGGCCAGACCTGCTTACCATGTGGTTAAGATGTTAACACCACACAGCTCAAGCTCACTGCTCTCACGTTGGAACCAGCTTCCAGGTGACCCATGTTTTCAGAGGCTATACACACAGGAGAAGATTGCCTTCTCGGTCCTGCATAGCAGGTAGTGGATTTGAACTACTTGCCTGTGGGATGGCAGCTAAACGTCTTGCCTACAAGGCCAGCAGGCCCCTGACAGAGGCCATTTAGTCATCACCACACCCTCCTTGCCAGTCATAACCGATGCGTAGTGGCTGCCCCAGTGGATTTTCAGAGTCTGTCAATCATCCGGGAGGAGATTCCCAGTCTTCCTCCCTTGGATGACTTGGTGGAGGGCAGGGAAACACACCTTCCCACTGGTTGTGGTGGTGGTCAGGTGTCAGAATCGTGATCCTAGACCCTCACCATGTTCTGTGCCCCAGTCTCCACCATGGAAGCTCACTGTTGTAGTCACCAAGTCATAGCAGTGGAGGGGAGATGGCATCTCAGGATGGTTTGGATTTTCTTAGAATGACTTTAAACATCCATACATGTACTTGCTGGCCCTCGGTTTATTTTCTTTGGATATGTCCAATTCCCCGAAACAGACATTTTTGTTTGGCTGCTGTTTTAATAACTGCCCCATGTGGTTTCTAAGACTGTAAACCCTGACAGAAGCAGGATGCCGTATTTTGTCCCCAAGGAGTAGCTGGTGGGTTTGAACCACTGACTTACTTTACTGGTTAAACACTTTATTTTTTTTATTGTGATTATAATGAAAATTTACAGAGGTTGGGTTTCCATTCATTGTTGCACATTTCAACAGCTGAACACTAAAAATCACTGTCCTCCTGAATCTCATGCTGTACAGTAAACCCTCACTGGATGTATGGCTCCTAAAAATTGTATATATATAGGCTGTATTGTCAAAGTTAACTATTGTGACTTTTTTTTTTCTGGTCCTGTTTATATTGTCCTATTTAAGCAGCAACGTGAAAGGAGGTCTTAGACCTTGACCTCTGCCTGGAAGGTGTTATCTTCAGTGTTTCACGTAAGTGGTCTCTCTGATCCATTTTGGGGTAATTATCATAGAGGGTGTTAAAGTTACAGGTCCAGCAGCATTCCTCCACTGATATCAACCAGTGGACAGACGTGGAACTACTGCCAACATTCAAACGACCACATATGTATGGGTTTATGCAGTACTGTTGGAATGCAATGGCGTGTTAAACTACACATTTGCCTATTCTAGATAACACATTTAAATGGAACTATAGACTGTACTTCCACATTGGAGTAGTTTCTGCTTTCAAGGCTCATCTGTCACAACATGCTTTTTAAGGATGAGTGATATTCCGCCTTAAATTTATCACCTGTTGAAGGGCATTTAGATTGCACTTTCCAGCTACTGTGAATAGATGCTATAATGAACAATGATACAGAAGCATCTGTTTGCATTCCTACTTTGAATTGCTTAGGGCATACACGCAAGATCAGTAGTTATTTTAGGGAGAGCCAATATGTGTGAAATGGTAATTGCAGGTGCAGCTGTGTTTTGCTTATTCTGATGACATATTGGGACACACAACATTTTAACAATCTTCACATGTACATCTGAGTGACACTATGTTCATCATGTTGTTATCCCTCCTACACTGTTGTTGTGTGCCATCAAGTGGAAACAAGACTCACAGCACGGGAGGGGACTGCCCATCTTTCGCCCACTGAGAAGCTAGTGGATTTGAACTACTTGCCTTAGGTGCAGCACAACTTGTTACCCAGCAGTCACCACACGTTATACCATCCCCCTTAATATATGTGCACATTTTTAAAATTTTTGTGTGAGTGTACCGTCAAATCAGATCTGACTGGTACGGGAGGAGATTGTCCCTCCTTCCCCGGCAGAACATCTGGTGGATTCGAACCGTGCGCCTCTGGGATTGTAGTTGCAGCTCTTTACCACTAGGCCAGCTCCCCCTAAATATGTGCACACTTAATGAGAGCACTGAGGTGCCTTTCCCTCCTGTCCCTCTGTGGCTCCTCCTTGGATCATGGGTGTGTCTGTAGGTGACTTAGCGTGTCCTCAGTGTCCACGTCAGGGCATACCGACTCATCTGCAGACAGCATTTAAGCCCTTCCCACCTTTGGCTCTGTCGATAATGAATACTTGGTCTAGTGTACTCTGCTGTCTACTGTACATGCCTAGGGGTGGACATCCTGGTTCAGGTAACAACTTCACCTGTTTTCGGGGAGGGAGGGATCCGTCTTCCACATTCTTCCCAATATGGCTGTGTTAACCATCCTTGTGAGGATGAACTGTCTTCTTTGGAGAAATGTCTATACAATTTCATTGTCCATTTTTTTAATTGTGTTTTATTGTTTCTCCTTCCTTTGACCTAAAGTTTCCCACTTTGATAAGTCTATTTTGTCACTCATGCGTTTGATATTGTACAGCACAGGCTCTAATTTAGACTAAACACAGTTCTTGGCTGATCTTTCCTCTTCTCTCATAACTAGGTATTGCCTGACTTGTGCCTTTTGTCTTTATTGGTTGCTTGAGAATGTTAAGTCTCACTTGGATTTCATGCTCTCCTTATTATCTCCACTGTGGTTGGTAAAGGTTCTTTGTGTAGTTTCAATCTGTTCCTGTTTTGTGGATGAATAATCCTGGAGAGTAATGTGTACTCTGCTGTTGTTGTGCAGTGGTCCTAATCTACTGTTTGCTTTCCAGAGCTCTGACGCCCTGGGCTCTTAAATTTCTACCTGGGGGGAGGATAGTGTTTTGCAATGATTGTGTGTGTCCTGTCAAATCGGATCAGGAGGAAAGTGCCATTTTGTATCTTTAATTTTTTAATAGCTGTTCGTTCATCTTTTTATATGGTCTTTGATTTTCAACTTTTCTGTCATTTTGTTTTAGGTGTGCCTTTGAAGAAAGTTTGTCATCGGAAAAATACTATGATTTATCAAGTATTGTGACTACTGCTGTGTTTTGTGTTATCTAGTGAACAGGCTTCCCTTCCAAACTAAAACTGTACAAATGCTTTTTCTGTTGTAGTGCTTAAAAATGTCATCCTTATTTTAAAAATTTAAGAACCAGAGGCTCATTGTAACACTGCTTGTTTCTAAAATATTTTTACCTTCTTCCTAGTTATTCTAGAAAGGTTGTAAGAGCTTATAAATGAGTTTTTATGTATTACAGAATCTCACTCTTGAATTTTATAATAGTTTGATGGATATAAATTCCAGATGATTAATTCACTGTCCTCCTGTTCCTAAGGAAAAATATTTCTAAGTCTAGTTACTGTAGGTAATTTATTTTCTTCTTTCTAGTGGATTTTAGGAAGCTCTGATGGCCTAATGGGAAGAAGCTGTGCTGCAATTCCAAACGGATGTGGTTCAAATCTACTAGTTGCCCTGCAGGAGAAGAATGGGAATTCTCCTCCTGTACAACTTATTGCCTGAGAACTTGCTGGAAGGTCGGCTACAGATCTTTTCCAACTTGACAGCACACACAAGTGGCTTTTAGAGTTTTACTGTGTACTATTCTTTCCTCAGAACTCCAACATCCTTTTTCAATCAGTTCTGAGAAATGTCTATTTAAGATACTGCTTTTTTCAAGGCTTTCCTGGGGACAGGACCCACGGCCAGAACATGTGCCACCCATGCCTCTTATTGCTACACTCTCTCTAATCCAGTGCCAGGGTTTTTTTAGTATTAAAGTTTTGAAGATTACCTGGACTTGTAGGTAGCAGCCGTTTTACCACTTAAGGCTCCGTTAATACTGGTAAGAGCCTCTGGAATGTGCTTCAGAAAGTACTGTACAGGCGATCAAAGCAAGGTGCAGAGATAGTTCATTTTAAGCTATAAGCCCCAGAAATATTGCCATATTTTGTAAACTGTGTTTCCTTAGGATTTGTGATGGCTATGAGAGCTCAAGATACAAGTCTTCTGGAATCTCCGCCAGACCTGCACAGTTGATTTTAAAGTCAAGTTTTGGGGTACGGCACCTACCAGTTTGGTACGCAGCTTCTGCAGCCATCTCTGACAGGCTGACGGCCGTCATCCAGGTCGTCTCCAACTTTAAATATTCTTGTTGTTTTGAAGTCATCTGCAAATGAAGCCAAGTCCCTTAGGCAATATGGAGATGATTCTACTTTTTAAATAAATTCATGTAAACATTTATTTGGAGACCAGTAACAGGCTGCAGATGGATGAATATGGAAGGAACTGTTCAGTCACTGCTTGCTTACCTCAACCCTGGCTCCGATAATCACTTGCCACACTTCATCTTCCTCCTGTGAATTCATTTTCCCAAGTAAACTTGTGTACTGTCGATACAGAGAAATCAAGGTATACACAGCCTAGAAATGCAGAGGAAACAGTTGCAGTGAAGCTCATGAAGTGAACTGATGAGACTTCCATGTCCTAGGGATGCACTACTGTATGCACAGGCTTCAATCCAGTGGGAGCCTAGGACACAGCAAGAACATGATGCAAAAGGAACACTCGAGATCTTTCATTCTGATTATACATGTATCCTCTTCTCCATGAAGTCAGGTCAAAGTGCCCTCACAGAGAAGGGTGCTGTGGTGCCCGACCTCTTTAAATGATGCTTGGGTCTTGTCTTTTATACTCTGGGGCCTACAAATTGTTACACAGCTCTGCTAACCAGAGCACAAAAGCAGGCAGCTGGCTATCAGTTCTGGGCCAGTTGGTTGGTTATGTCATTAGTTAGGTGAAGAGCATCTCCCCTCTGGAGGAGCTGTAACTAGAGGACACTCACCTTAGTATATTCAGTGACGGCTTCAATGAGCGCATATGTGGTCTGAGACAGAAAGGTGGAGGTGCTATCTGTCACCAAGGACACGGCCCGCCTCATTAGTGCATCGTTACTCAGAGAATGTGGCTCCGATTTCTGGAAGACACAAACCTCCTTATTCAACTTCTATCCCAATGCTCCAGTGCCAATACTTTGCCAGAGAGAGGGAAATACAGTTTAGCGCCCTGGTTAACTTATTTTAAATAAAAGGTTTTATTTTTGGCTAATTAAGACAATATAAAGAAATTCCAAAATATGCTATCTACCTAGATTTTTTATCTTTAAACATAATTTTCATTAAAAGTTAATCTAATTCTTTTGCTCTCAAGAATAAAGGCTAGTAATTCAAACAGATTCATTCATTACCGTACTATTCGATGCTTAGAACATCAACTTAAGGTTTTCAGCCCTCTACGATTTTAGAAAGGGGGGAGATAAAGTAAGGACGACGGCAGGAATGCAGTCAAAAATAGAAGACCAGACATACAGATTTCTGACAAGAATGCCCATTTAGTGGAAGGCAGTCACAGCTAAGTTGTACTAGATTCTCATATATAAAGCCACATCACATGGTTAATTCACACAGACCATACAGTGTCAGGGGCCTCAACAGAAGAGTCAAATTATTTTAGGATCCACTTTTTAACAGAGCAATCTTTAGATAGGTTGCCAAAAGCATCAAGCAATGAAAGGAAAAGGATTTTATAAAAATTTAAAACTTTTGAAAATAAAACTATCAACAAAGAAAGCAATTTACTGATTAAAGATGAATTTTGGGGACACCAGATAGTGGCTAGATAAGGATTTGTAATTTCTAGAATTACAGGCATACCTGAGAGAGAATGTGGGTTCCATTCCCAAAGATAGCCAATACTATACAGAAAAGGGCCAGCTGTCTACAAGTTTCCTAGTACATACAAGGTGGCTTAGTGCTAAGAAACTGCCCTGTAGTCCCAAGGATGCAGTTCACATTCACCAGTCTCTCCACTGGAGAAGGACAGGCACTCTCCTTCCGTGAGATTTCCTAAGAAAACCTGCTGAAGAGTCAGTTCCAACTCCACAGGACACACCACCACCAATACATACGAAAATTACATATTATGGAAAAGTTTTAAATACTATAAAAGTGAAACAGACACAACCGGGGCAGAGGATTGGTATCCACAGACCTCCTTGGTAGGTTGGGCAGCTACAGATTTTGACTATAAAATAAAAGACACAGTCCCTGCAAAGTCTGATTAAAAGAAATACGCCTATCACAAGAACACCTACCCTTAAGACAGAAGGCCCAATCACAGTAATGACCATGAATACACATACGGACAATCAAAAGATGAGGAAAATAAGCGTCCAACCCGCAGGAAACAAGTGTTAGTGAGGAAGTGCAGAAATCACTGTCCACTGCTTGTTGGGTTTAAAACTGCTATGAACTGAAAACAAAAACAGTTACTTGCACAACCAAGGCTCTCTGCAGCCCTAGTCACAGCACCAGAGAGGAGGAGCCATCTAAAACAGGTGAGTAGAGAAACAAGTAATCCCAATTCAGGGTACAACATGGTGGGACGTCAAAACATACCAGGTGGAATCAACCAGTCACAAAAGGACAAAAAGTACATGTATACATTTATATGAAACTCACTGCCATTAAATCAGAACTCACAGTTGACTCTCCTGCAGGTTTTAAACCATATGGGTAGAGACTCCCCATCTTTCTCCCAAGGAGCTGCTGGTAGATTCAGAGCACCCGAGGGGTGCCACTTTTGGGTCACCAGCACAATTCCACCAGCGTTCCCTCCAGTTACATGAACTATCTAGAACCGTCCAAGTTAGAAGGGCCAAGTTCACAGACACCTACGGCAGGAAGGAGAGGAACCATTTCTTAGGGAGCAGAGCACTTTCCAGCTTAAGGGTGAAGGACAAAGCTGGAAATGGGTAATAGTGACAGCTGTACAATATGATCCAAGTAATTAATGTCATGAAGCAGCTGGTGGTTTGGTGCCATCAGATCGGAACTGACCCACAGCTGACCTTCCAGCAGGCTTTCACAGGCTGTAAATCACACGGGAGGAGCTTGCCCATCTTTCTCCTGAGTATGATCAATGTGAGAAATGTTGAAATAGAAACTTTTGTTATATAAAGTTCTATCACAACAGCTGGACAACTGAATAAGGATGAAAGAATAGATGCTTCTGAGCTGTGGTACTGGTTACTGAGTATCCCATGGCCTACCAAACGAACCAACAGGTCTTAGAGAATGTGGAAGCAGCCTGTTAGCTCCTTACAGGCAAGGATGATGAAACTTTGTCTCACATCCTTTGAGCATGTTGTCAGGAGCGGTGTTGGAAAGGAACATCATGCTGGCAAAGTCAGTGAGAGAGAGGAAGACCCAAGGAGATGGCCTGACTAACAGCAGATTCTAGCAGAAACTGAGGATGGCTCTGGACAGGGCAAGGTTCTGATCTAGTCACAGGGTTGCTATGAGTCGTAGGTGACTCAACAGCACCTACCATCCACAAAAGAACGAAAAACGTCCTCGGGAACTGTCTGGAAAAATCACACAGTGTGCTGACAATCTGTGCACAGTTACCGGAACCAACTACAGCTGACCCCTAGGGGATTTCAGAAGCTCTAAGGCACACGGGGAAGGCAGCTCATCTTTTTCCAGGAGCAGCTGGTCAATGAGAACCATCAGCCTTTGGGCCTGCAGCACAATTCCTTATTCACTAGGCCATCAGTGCTGTTCCATAGTTGTCAAAAGGAAGTTTATACAAAAGCCCCAACCCTGGGAGCTGAGGCAGCAGTCTAGGCTGCAGAGAGTAGGGGCAGCAGTGACAGCTCAGTGTACTAAGCTGGGTCTAAGAACTAGATGAGTGGGACGGAAGGGCTGTTCAGGAGTGTAGGCACTGCAGTCTGTCTTGGGTGGAAGGATGCTTCATCCTGACCTCAGCTATTCTGTATATATGCTTTTAAAAATATGAGGGAGCTCTGATAGGTCCCACCCGATGTAACCCGTGTTGTGGCTTGAAATGTGCCCCTACAAAATGTGTTGTAAATGCCACTTTATCATTCGGTATTTCTGCTTGTTATAACTGGCAGAGTTAGTGTAAGGGCCTTAAGTCAATCTCTCCTGAGTTGCAAAAGCTCAGAAAAGACAGCACCTCACTCAGCTGAAAGAGTGCCTAACTGTCATAAAGGCTCACGATGAGTTTATTTAAATATGCTTTAAAAGGAGCGAAAATCCAATTTTAAGTAATTATTAACCTAAATGAAGAAGATGACATAACTCTTAAAACATTAATTCTCAGAAGAAGCGGTAGGGGTGTAAATCTGGGGCCTGGTTTTTTAACAACGGGTTCCTGGGCGTTAAACCAAAACCACAAGCACAAATTTTAAAAACTGCTAAATGGGGTTGTATAAAATGAAATCCTCTTATTTACCAAAGTACTTTATCAACACCATGAAGCAACCTACAGGTGGGGAGAACATTGTGGGCAAACACATCACTTAAGGGCCTAAGATCCAAAATAAATCAATTTCACAACAAAAAGATAAATCATCAAAAAATAAACAAAAGACCTGAACAAACATTTTACCAAAGTTATATAAATGGATGGCCAACAAGCACATAAAAACATGCTCAACATAACCAAAGATGCAGAGAAGCTGACCTACATGATTAGGATGCTCTAAAAAAGGACGCATGTAAACACATCAAGATTTGTCCCCAAAATTAAAGAGAAACTACACACTGGGAATAATTACTGGCAGTCATGGATCTGAAAAGAAACTCATCTCTAAAATTTATAGAACCGCCAACACTTCAACAAAAAGACAAGTCTAACCAAAGATGGACAGAGAACATGAACTGATACTTCGTCAAAGACAACACAGGGAAAAATGCTGCAAACATTAGTCCTTGAGAGAGATGGAAATAAAAACATCTCACTCCAGCAATCAAAAAACAATTACCGAACAGCCAAAGCCTCACTGCTACAAAGTTGGAACCAACTCAGAGCTGAGCCACTGGCAGGTTTTTAAAGGCTGTAAGTAACATGAGAGGAGACTGGTCATCCTTCTCCCAATGAGCAGCTGATGGATTTGAACCACTACAGGCACCATCTTTCAGGTTAGCAGTACAGCCCCCTTCAGACTATGCCAGCAGAGTTCCCTCCCAGAAAGAAAAGTCTAAAAGACTGAAAACCAATGCAGACTGAAGTGCAGACACTGAACTCTCATGCCCTGCTGGTGAGGCTGTAAAAGGGTACAATTACTGTAGAAAATGGTATGTACTTCCTTAAAAACGTGGAAACAGGAATACTATTATTTCATCCAGCGATCTCATTACTAATAGTGTAGAGAGGGTGCAAATATTTATATGTGCAGTTAAGTCCAGCGCAGTATTAGTCATACAGCAAAAAGAAGCAAACAACCCAAATGCCTGTATCTGGATGAATGCATTAACAAACTATGACTCTCACACACACACACACACACACACACACACACACACACACACACACACACACAAATACCATACAACGTAAGGACATGTCAGGGTTACCTCTCATGTTGTGGATGAACCTGGAAGAAGCTATACTGAGTGATGTAAGTCAGTCACAAGAAGACAATCATTGTATGAGGCCACCTAACTACCATACAAAGTCAAGAAAAGATTTATATGCAGAAGGGAGGGAACACAAACCCCACTTCTGTTGAGCGGGAACCAATTCACAGCTGACCCTCCAGAAGGTTTTTGGAGGCTGCCAAGCACGTGAGAGGAATTTGCCCATTTTCTTTCAGAGATAGTGAAGGATTTCAATTGCCAGGGAAGCACCACCTTAGGGTGAAGGGCACCTTCCCTGTGGTCTATGGCACCAGGGCTCCCTACTGACTAGATGATGATGTCAGGTGGTGCTGTGGAGTCCAATACAGCAGGTCTGGACCTTGCCCCATCCTCTGCCATCCTCACTATTGGAAATACCTGAGCCAGAGCCATTGCTAGATACCAATTCAGTTGGGTAATATAAAAGCAAATATATAATAAGGAGGTGATCAGCCTTACATCACCAAAACAATGAAAAACACTGAGAAGTGCACAAAATTACAGAAGCACTAGAGAACTACTGTTACATACTCAATTCTGTAGTAACAAACAGGAATGTACAGTGCACACCCATGCACACGTGTAACTGAGCAGGTAAGGCTAGCCAAATGGGACTACTCCACAACCAGAGATGGGCTTGGTAGAGGGTATTTCTACGTGTTGTTGTTATGTGCCGTCCAAGGGACTCATAGCGACCCTATGTACAACAGCCCTAAACTCTGCTCTGTTCTGTGCCAGTCGCACTGTCTCCGATACACCCATCCCGATTACCCCAGTCACTGAATCAATCCACCTCATAGAGGGTCTTCCTCTCCTGCGCTGTCCCTCCACCCTCCCAAGCATGATGTCCTTCTCCAAGGACCGGTCTCTCCTCACAACATGTCCAACGTATGTTAGACGGAGCCTCAGAATCCTTGCCTCCAAGGAGCCACCCGGTTTAACCCTTTCCAGGACAAATCTGTTTGTTTACCTAGCAGTCCATGGTATTCTCAATACTCTTCTCCAGCACCACAGCTCAAAGACATCAATTCTCCTTCTATCCTCTTTGGTCATTGCCCAACTTTCTGATGCATTAACAAGTGATTGCAAAGACCATGGCCTGGATCAAACACACCTTAGTCTCCAGAGAGACACCATTGCTCTTCAGTACTTTGGAGAGGTCCCTAACAGCAGACTTTCCCATGGCAATGTGCCTTTCAATTTCCTGGCTACTGGTGCCGAGAGTGTTGACTGTGGAGCCAAGCAAACTAAAGCTGTCAACAATCTCAATCTCTTCACCATCCATCCTGATGCTGCCAATTGGTCCAGTGGTGAGAATCTACGTAAGTACATTAAAGTACAACCATGCATATACACTGCAAACAGGAGTCAAAATCATGACAATGTCTTGACATAATCAGACATCTTGAGGGAATAAGCCATTGGATTTGGGACATAGATAAGACATTTTGGGGTCAGACAATGTACTACAACTTATCTGTAGGTTGTCAGTGAGGGTCTTTAAAGCTATAGGCATCTTCCTCTACAGATGATGGCAGAGTGAAGAAAATCAATGACTCAAAGGAACAACTGGTCTGGGGATGAAGGGGCCATGAAAGCCACAGCCTCTATGGCTCTGAGACCACAATCAGATGATGCAGGCCACCACAACCAATTGCTCTGACTGGGACCCCAGAAGACTCTACAAACAATGGGAGGAAATGCTACTACAAAATTCAGAATCATAAAAAGAACCAGGCATACGGGTCTGACCACAACTGAGGGAATGAACCCCCCAGAGATGGAGGCCCTCAGATCTCTTCAAACCCAGAAATGAACTCACCTCGCTGGGTCACCTCACAGCCAAATAGCTGACAGGCTAGTCATGTGAACAACTACAGGCGAAGCATGTATTATTTAGAACTAAACAGGTGACCACATGTTCCAACACAAAACTCGGACAGTAGGAAGGGGCAGAAAAGAAAGAAAAATGCTAAGTGGGAAGAGTGTTTTAGAATGAGAGAAGTGCAACTAATGTTATAATATTTAGAAAATGGGAATTTAAAAAAATCATTAAAATAATGAAAAAATTAGGTGTTGAAGGTCATTAGCTTTTAACAAAACCTAAACGATTCCGCCGCATAGTAACCTCACAGAACTCCTTAGTTGTCAAGGACGTGGACTGTCACGCCTTTTTCTTGTGGAACAGCTAGTAAATTCCAATCACCAAACTTCTGTTTAGCAGCTTAAATACTTCACCACCAGGGCTCCTTTCAGTAGCCTTTACTGTTGTGTAACATCAAGTCAGAACAGACTCAGAGGTGACCCGCCAGCAGGAGGCAGTAAACCACAAAGGAGCAAAGTGCCCATGTTTCTCCGAGGGAGCAGGTGGTGGGCTCCAAAAATGTGCCCCTTGGATTGATGCAGCCACAAGAACTCCCTCCATTAGTCTTTGCTGTTGTGTCTGTAGAGTCAGAATTAATGTGGTTTTCAAAAGCTGTAAATTGCACAGGAGACTGCCCATCCTTGTCCCAAGGAGCTGGCATTTTAACTGTATGCCTTTGTAGTAGGCAGCACAGAATCTGACCATTAGGCCACCAGAGTTCAAGATGCAAATCAAGAACAAAATGAGATACCACCTCCCCCCACCCCCAAATTGCTATGATAAAACAACAAAAACCCTTGACAACAGGTGCTAGCAAGGGTGTGCTGACATTTGAACCTGTACCCATGCTGGTGACATACTAAATATTTGGCAGTTCCTCTAAAAGATCAAAGAAGAACTACCCAATGACCCAGGAATTCTAATCCTTGATTCTACACAGATACATCCCCCAAAGATTTGAAAACAGAAATGCAAGCAGAAATCTGTTCTTAGCAGCACTAGTCACAACAGCCTGAAGTGGAAATCAACATAAATAGCCATTAACAAGATGTGTTCAATCCATAAACAGAGTACCACTCAGAGAAATTAAGTCCTGCTCCATGCTAAACCAGAAGTGAACCCAGAAAACAAGGGGACACTTGCTGATCGTGTTCCCCAAGTAGCTACGCCACACAAAGACAATGGAGAGCTTGGCCAAGAAAATGGCCCCATGGATGAGAGTAAGTACCTCCTTGGTGCACTTAATGCCCAAGCCAACATAGCCATTACAATCTGCAAATGGTGAGTGACAGATACCTTGAACCTGGGCCACTAACTGGCATGTGCCTGCTTCTGCACAGACATGATTTTTTTATTCTTTTGTGAGTGTGTACTGTCAAATTGGATCTGACTGGTATAGGAGGAGACTGTCCCTCTTTCTCTAGCAGAGCATCTGATGGATTTGAACTACTCACCTCTGGGATTGCAGTCCAGCTTCTGTGCCACTAGAGATGATTTTCAAGACCTCATCCTTGAGGGACATCCCCAGAAGTCAACCATCTCGGACACTTTCATGGGTGCTGAGAACTGAGAGCTCTCTCTGCCCTAGCCTCACTATACTCAAGTCCTTTATGGCTTCATTTTCAGAATTAAACCCAGATCCTCACAATGGCCCACAAAATGCAAAGCACATGACTGGTCTCTAGCACTGATCTCCCCTCATCAATCCACTCTAGAAAGAATGACTTCCTTGATGTTCCTCAGACACATCAAAGCATACTTTTGCTTCTCCCTAGAAAAATTACCTCCCTGATATTATCATGGGTCACCGTTGCATAGAGATTTCTTTTCAACATTGTCTCAGAGAAGTCCTAATTTTGCTTCTGAAAAGAAAACCACTTCTTCCTGGAACTTCCTATTTAACCTAGGTGTGGTAAATCCAGCTGTAAGAGTACCGGGACACACACGCGCGCGCCCTTCACTAAGGTCATCAGTAAGGATTACGCTAGGGTGACCTTTTTTTACACTAGATAAAAGGTAGAGGAAAATGAAGCAGGAGAGACTTTAGTACCACCCAGTAAGAAAAGCCAGAAGTGGAGTGCACCCTGTGAACCCGCGTTCCTGCACTGGGCACTCCTGCAAGCCAGAGACACGGCCAGTCAGCCTTCCCCTAGGGTTGGCATCTGCGTTGACATCTCTGGTTTTCTAAAGAGAAAGACCTTCCTTGTTAAAACCATCCACTTGTGGCTTCTTTATTACAGTAGCACTAGACTGCTGTCCCCTTTCTGGACAATGTAACATGCCTGATCCAGGCCACAGTCTTTACGACTGCTTCCTGTGCATCAGAGAGCTGGACAATGACTAGGGAGGACAAGAGAGTTGATGCCTTTGAGCTGTGGTGCTGGAGTAGAGTGTTGAATATTCCAGGGACTGCTAAGAGAACAAATTTGTCCTAAAGAGGGCGAGACCAGGCTGCTCCTTGGAGGCAAGGATTGTGAAGCTCCGTCTGACATACTTTGGACATGTTGCAAGGAGGGACCAGTCCTTGGAGAGGGACATCATGCTTGAGAGGGTGGAGGGACAGCGCTGGAAAGGAAGACCCTCAATGAGACGGATTGATTCGGTGACTGGGGTAACGGGGTGGGTGTGTTGGAGGTGGTGAGGCTGGCTCAGAATAGAGCAGGGTTCAGGGCTGCTGTACAACAAGGCATGAGAAGCAATATGGGAATTTCTTTCCTGGCCAATGAAAAGTGATGCCAATACCTGAATAAGCCTTGTTCTTAGAACTGCAAGGACCAGGCAGCTCTAGCAGTTGAATGGTAGGGAGTGGGCTGCTAACCCCAAAGCACGCCGTTCGCCCTCCACCAGCTGCCCAGGGACCCCCTTACCTGCGCGATGGGGACCGCGCACAGGGTCACCCCGAGTCCCACCGCCACGCTCTTGGGCCATGGTCTCAACTCCGACAGGCAGCGCTTCCGAAAGGCGGCCGCGCCCGGGCCGTGTCTGCACCTGGAGACAGAGCCCGGGCTTCAGCTGGGGGACGGGCACCCCACCCCACCGAAACGGGCACCCCCACCGGGACGGGCTCCCCACCGGGACAGGCACCCCACCCCCCCAGGACCCCCACCGGGACGGGCTCCCAGCTTTCCTACACCCCCGGCCAACCCGAGGGGGCCCGGGGAAC